GTCTTTAGACAAACCAGAAAAAGTGCCAAATCGACTCCCTCACCTGGGAGACGATTACTCCATAACGTAACACTAGGAGGAGCACCACATAAAAAAGTGTCAATACTTTCGAGTTAGCCAGACTGCATACTGAGGCAGACAAGCGCCAGCGCCGGAAAGACGCTGATGCCGCCCCTCCACAGGTGCAACATCTGTGGACGGCCCTGCCGGTCCTGTTTAGGCCTTTCGAGTCACCTCAGAGCTCACTAACGAAGGTGACATACCTAGTAACTCAAATCATTGTATCATAGCTAGATGATCGTCATATTCGACTCGGAGTGACAGCAAAGTAGTAGTAGTAGTAGTGATGTGTGTGCGCGTGGGTGCGTGCGTGTGTACGTGTGTACGTGTGTGGGTGCGTGTGCGTGTGACGGTTATTGGTGAGGTGGTTTAACTAACATCTACAATCAATTTCATATAACAATTTTTTTCTAACATATTTTCTATAAATTTATTTGTGTTTACTTTTATTTTCATTATTTTGTTTTTACTATTAAGAAGGAGATGAAGTCTATACAGAGTATTTACTAATTGCTAAAACGTGTCGTAGTCCTTCTCTGTGAAGTGACAGTCACCTGAGCCAGTCCCTGTCCCGGTAACCAGGATAAACTGCTCGAGCAAACCTGGGAGTCCTCTTGTTCAGTTTTCAAATTCATCACACAGTCCTATAGATGACACTTCTCACAGCCCGAGTTAAAGAAACAAGAAAAAAAAAACACGGCGCCTAATTTAGTTGCCGGGAGTCTTCCGACAGGTGGACCTGATCACGCCTGGCTACTTTGTGTGTTACAGGGAATTTGTGTAACTAGTGATTTTGCGTAATCCCTAAAATTCATGGGGATTTCAGAAAATCTCTGGTTTGAAGGGCGGGGGATTTCAGGTAATCCCTAGATATTTTAGGGATTACGTGAAATCACTGGTTACACAAAATCCCCATATAACGTGCAAGTCACGAACGTGAGAGCATTTAAAAATTCATACGCTATTTTTTCTCAAAACTATACCTCTCGTCCCTCGAGTTATCTAGTGAGTCATGCCCACCGTTCTTTGTTAACAGAATAGTATAACTCCTTTTTTACCACTACACAAAACTCCACTCCAGTAACTATTGCCCGATGCTGATTTTTCCTCGGCCTCCTGTCACGGGTGAAGCTGCATGTCGGTGGAGTGTGTTGCTACCTTTCACCTGCCAGTCTTTTAACAACAAGCAAAGTGGGTGCGATCTTTTTGCATTATTTTCGTTTTCTTTCTCACCTTATTCCGGTAGAGGCTGAGGTTCTCTTCAGTTTCTTTTCACTCGCTTGGCTTTTTTGTTTCACTATTTCCTTTGTAATTTTGGTTGTCGGTGTGATATTGCAGTATCTAGATTTATGTAAGTGAATATGTATTCTACTTTTCAAGTGCTATAATTCTACAGACATTCATGAATCTTAATCTGAATTAAGTTTTGGTGTTATTCTGTTTCTCTTTTGTTTTAACACCGCTGGCTGTTCTGCCGTCAGGTTGGGTGTCAGTTTGTATCTTTTCAATGTTGATAACTTTTCAGATTGTCATTTTCATGTCACAATATTCCTGGATGACCTGTAAGAAAATCTGAACAATCTTGATGCCATTTTTTGCGTCTTCTGCCAATGTTTGTTTCTCTCGGTCACTTAACTCTCATGGAGCTTCAACGAGACTTTTCCCTGTTGACCAATTGACACTGGCCTAACAACCTAATACTTCTTTACCACTCCTGTCTCGGAAATAAACTGGTGCCCTGAACTGCAGCTTCGAATCCCACCTATTGTTTATAAAAGTATTTCAGTTATCACAAACTTTGATTTTGCCTAAACTGGCTGTACAAGAACCAAAGCTGTTGATTCATTAACCAAGTGTATATAAATGTTGTTACTTCCTACACCAGCAACTCTTATCGTCAGACAGTCACTCAGTAACGGATAAAGCTTTTTTAGACTACAGTAAATTAGACATAATATTACTAAAATTTAACGCACCAATAGTTAGCTAGCTATACATGACTGTTTGATAAATTCATATACAAACAAACAAAATTTCATTGTTACTCATTATAGCACTACATGAGGTGACCTGAGCGTGCTATTAATATTACCTTTAATAGCATTCCGTAACAGTTGATTTTTTTCTTTTAATCCTGGTATCGTTTGTCATTAGTTTCAAGAGATTCTAAATATAAAATTACATAATCGCGTGTCACAGTCATCCGGGTTACCATAAAAACCAGATCATTTGTTTTTAACCTCAGAGTCTCAGGTGCCACCCGATTTTCTGGAATGATATGTTGTTAGACGCCCATATTAAATTGCATAATTAATTAATGACAATGCAAACCTTAATAAGAGAAGACTGCTACTAAACTTAACAGGTTGATGTTAAGTAGTTGGTATTTATACATTGTACACATTTTTTGTTCTTTAGATCAAATGGATACATGTTAAACTAGGCATCCTCGTGGCCAGGGTGAAGTTTATGGTCAGGTGACGCTCTTTTATTGTTCGTCTTATCGCCTTGTCATCTGCACTCGTTCTTTGGTATTGCTTATGTTGACGTGTCATCATCTATACACGTTCTTTTTATTACTTATGTTGGTATGTCAACTGTTACGGGATCAGTTTGTGGGTTTGGAGCTGCTGTTTGGCCAGATTATTGATGTAAAGTTTGCTTCTGAAAGATTAAAATGACCCTGGAAAAGAAGTGCTTCGTAGTAACTCTGGACGGATGTGGTGCAGGTGTTGACGGAAGGACACACACACACACACTCACGCACACACATGCAGACACAAACACGCATGCAAACATGACACGCATACACACACCATACATACAAGCACGCACGCGTGCACACGCACACACACACATATTCTTCCTTCTGAAACTAAAACATTATTATAGGTCATGTTAGTTATCACCATAAGACAAAAGGGGATCATTTAGTATGTAAGAAAAACCCACATAGGTGACGTCAACAATACACTTTATTTACAAGACTACGAAAAGTTTCCACAATATTTACAACATTATTTACAAGAATATACATTCCTCAAACAGGAAGTTACTTCATCATTTATATATTATAAAGAATTCATAACATCTATATCTGAATTACACGATTAAACACACTTTATTTTTTTTGTCTACATTAATGTTATTCAAACTTAACATAAGAATCGGATGTTACACAAGACTGGAATGGTAAGTAAGGAATGCCCTCAGTGAAAAAAGTAATAAAACATCCAGGAATTAAGAGAGGAATGTCTCATCATTAAAATCCTTATAGCGTACAATAATAAAAAGACAGAATTGTCATCGCGGGAGACGCTGGCGGCCTTCCTGAGCTTTGGGTGAAGTTATGGTACGTGTGTGTGTGTGTGTGTGTTAGCGTGTGCTGAGTGTGATTGTGTGTATTATTTATGTATTGGAAGACACATTTGTATGTTTCATAGTGCTCTGTGTATGTGTGTGTGTGTGTGTGTGTGTGTGTGTTTTAGAAATAAGACAGGCTTATGTTTTAGTTCTTACACAGCACATTTAGGTGGAGAGGGGGGGGGGGGTGTTATAGATCATTTTTGCACTATATCAATCAGGTTGCGAAAAAAATTAAAAAACCCTGTCAAGACTAAAGTGAAATTTACGAGTCAATTACAATTCAATTCAGCTTGTGGCTAACAAGTGACAATCTTGTTCAAAACCGAAAATAATTGTAATAAAAAAAATTACTGTTAATAATGATGCAGCGTTTGTCAAATAAATATTATAGGGAAGGAATTACTACTGTTCATTTATTACTAACGTGTTACTCTAATTTGGTAAGCAAGTATATTTTTTTATTCGCAAGGGCATTTTGTTGACTCATATATAACCTTGTCTGACTACTTTTATTCTATCACATCAATTTGTTGGATATTAAAAGGAAACTCAAAATATTATTGTACCATCCTTGACCAAAAGTTCACAAGGGCTTGTTACGTCCCCTTAAGGAGACAGGGCAGGTGCGTGCGGTTATTGTCTCATATTGAACCATCAGTACTCTCTCTAACGACACTTTTAAAATGTTTGTTTTTTTGTTTTTGTTTTTTCGTCTCTCTCTCTCTGTGTAGCTATTACCATTCTGACTCTACTGTGGGGTAACTATCCCAGTAAACGGCTATTGCTTTCACATTTGTTGTCTCTCTGAGGAACAGCCCGCCGCGTCCATCCGACAGCTCCCACACCAAACAACTTGCACAAGCAACTACTGCTACGACCGACGACCTCCAACTCCGTAAATAAAAATATTCCAGAAAATTGTTGTACCAAACAAACACCATCATTATCATAAAATAACGTTCAATTCTTAAAGCTTACGTAGTCAAACTCTCCCCCGGGGAATTAAAAAAAATTGTTTTTTTTTGTTACACATCCAACACCTAGAACTAGAAAAGCTGACAACATTCGACACTCTCAACATCCACACACACAAATACACACATACAAACACACACATACATACACACACATACACACTCACACACTAACTAACCCTCCAGTGGTCGGCAACAACACAGAATCTAGGAAATTAAAAAGAGTTAAAGCTCTATCTCGTGGTGGCGGTCGGTCAGTCAAACACCACATGGGGTTGTACCTGACAGCTGTGCAGGGGAGTAGGAGACGTAAAATAGGACTGGATGAGAGAAGGATGGGAAAGAAGAGGAGGTGAGAAGAGTGGGATAAAGAAGGAAGGGGGAGAGGGAGGAAAAGAGGATACGAGAGAGAAGGGAGAAGATGGTAGTCATGGAGAGAGAGAAAGGGAGGGGGGTAGGAGTTGAGAAGAAGGGGAGTGAAAATGAGAAAGAGGGAGTTAGGGGAGAGTGAGGAAAAGAAGGAGATGAGGTTGGGAGAGAGAGTGAAAGACAGTAGATGATCAGTCGTTAGAAGGTTATGACCTAACTAACCATGAGGGGAGATGGCACCAAGGATCATAAGGGTTATTATATGACCTTAAAAAAGGGAAAAGGTTAACCAGCACCGTTTTGCCTCATAGCAGGAATGAATTGACGTTTAGAGACGGAGGAAGAGGGAGTTGGGAACAAAGACAAATGCATGGAGGCAGAAAGGAGAAGAACACTTGTGGAGGAACAGCTGGCCAGTGAAGAGAGAGAGAAAGGAAATGGGTATACACAGTGCTTAGCCCAAATCTGACCAGACCCGCCACCAGTGTATGGAGAAGCAGTCGGATGTACACAGTCAGTCCGTACAGAGGTTTTTATGCCGTAAAAACAGAACTTTCTGGCTAGTATTTTGTACTATACATATGTAAAAGCCCCTACTGGGCGTAATTCAGACAAACGCGGAAATAAGTACAGTGAGAGAAATCACAGTTCTTTTGATTCTACATACATCCTGGAGACTGCGTATCCTACATATATCGAGCAAAGGCTTCAGCACTGATGCCCCGTAGTCCAATGGTCCCTAACCGTGAACTCGGCGGAGGCATCCAACCGTGCACACTGGGCGAGGTAATGGGTTACCTGGGAAAAGTAAAACGCTCACTTGATTATAAATAATACAGATAAAAGTCTTTATATCATGAAAAATAGTCTTCTGAGACAATCACGCGAACCGATGATACATTTGAGCACTTAAAAAGTTCCATATCATTTCCTGAAGGGTGTGAGTGTGCAGCGGTGGGTGCCCCCGGCCGAGGCTATCTTGGGCTGTCAGCTCAGCAATGGAAGATCTCGTAAGTTAACACTGTTTCCATCACAAGGAAGTTGGAAGACTACTACATGCACTGTTATCTATTTGTGCTTAGAAATAGTATCACTTCTTGAATTTTTTTTCAAGCGTAAAAGATTTAAATTACCTCATCTTGTGTAAAGTTGAGACAAATATAATAATCTTGCGCCAAATATTGAGGCTAATCAGCATTAGTTATAAAATCCAATCATGACGAATGACTTGGGAGCACATGATTCTCCTGAAATGAAAATACATTCTATGGTAAGTCACAAGGCATCTGGAAGACAGCGGTTCAGTGTATAATGTCGGTAAATATTGTCTGCATGAAGCACTCGTCACCTCCTGGGGACTGGTCGGGTAATCCTGGATTTTTCTATATTCCGGTTTTTCTTTAGTGACCATTGTGCACAATTCTTCTTGGCTTTAAACATTGGAATGTTCTTATAAAGTTTATTTTGTCCTTACTATCACACACTATCACTAGTGATAACACAGAGTTACTGTTCATACACCGAGGCGATAGTTTTTTATTTAGCTTTTAGTCGACACAAACTATACAGGGGGTCAAACATCACCACCTTTTTTTCCATGTGATCGTCTTGGTCCCCCCTAAAAACAGCGGGAGGACAATTGGGACCTGCGTAGTACTAAAAAGCTCTAAAAAGACCGTCTTGAGAGGGGCTTGGAGGCCGGCAGCCCAGACTAATGTAAGTCTCTACTCCCGTTTTGGCTTAACCTCCAGCCACTGGAGTTCTCACCGTGAGGACAAGAGGTGTGTGTGAAACAGAGGCGCTCTTGGCACAAACTTCTCTATTTACCTCAGCACCCCAGCCAGTAGAGGGGCGTAACTGAGAAGAGAAACACCTGACACCATCCTCACATCAGCTGTGAGTACAAATGGAGATCAAAACTTGGGGACAGTCATCACAATCCCCTGCTCTCTTCAGTGCCTCTTCATGTGGAGGGAGAGGTGGTCAGATCGTGAGAAGGACCGCTGACACAGCTGACATTTGAAGGGTTTCTGGCCCGTGTGTTTGCGGTAGTGGCGTGTCAGCTCGTCAGACCTCGCGAACCTCCACATACAGCCATCCCACGTACACTGGTAGGGCTTCTCCCCTACAAGACAAGAAACAGTTTGTGTTACATTATCGTCAAGATAAATTTGGAGTACCTACGTCTTGCCATAACTATTGGTTTTGGGGCGTGAAAGTTGTCAGGTGTGGTAGGGTATGGCAATGAAAATCAAGGTGTGGGACTACTGTTTAGTATTTTTTTACAAATAAATGAAGAAATAGAATACATATTTTCTACCGTATTACATATTTTCTATCGTCATGAACTTCAAGTAGGATATATATCTGAAACTATTGTATATTATATTTTTCATAATATCTGTCAATATTACAATAATAGAGGTTGAAGTAATTATCTTCATAAGACAAAATAACGAGACAAAGTTGGACTCACCTGTGTGTGTTCGTTTGTGTGCCTTGAGGTGAGAACTCTTGGTGTAAACTTTCTCACAACCCTCAAAGTCACATTTGTGAACCTTCCGCCGCCTGAGAGCGTCTGTGTAGTCAGCAGGTGGGGGAGGAGGCCGCCCAGGAGGCCGCGCCCCCGCCGGAGGAGATGGGGGGGACGAAGACGATGACGACGAGGAAGAAATGAGTGAATGTGAAGATGGTGAGAGGAGTGAGGCGGCAGCAGCGACGGCAGCTGAAGAAGAGATGGACACAGATACCCCCGAGGAGGCGAGATGGGCGGCGGGAGGGCAGGGTGGTGGTGACGGACTCTGGCTCAGTGACCGCTTCGCACACAAGGCTCTGCAACATGAAAAATAATTGTTTATTTGGACATCCTAAATAAAAACCACGTCATCTACCATACCAAGTTAATTGAATTAACTGCCTCTGTCACAGCTGAGGAAGTGTTATTACTCCATGACAGTGTAAAAGAGACTCTTAACCCTTTCACATCGAGAGGTTAACCTAAGCTGAATAAAATTGTCTGGCGGTAGCCAAAATAAAATAGCAAGTGCTTGAAACGTGATGAAAGGGTTAAAACCTTAAGTGTAAAAATATAAGATAGTAATCGATCCTCCCTCCTCATCCATTACCAGGACACAAATATGTCGACTAAGAAACAATGATGAGGTTTTAGCAATGATCATGTTCCCCTCGTGGCCAGACCTGCACTAACACCCACCCTCCTTTGCACGTCACGTTAGAGCAACTTAGATATGAGATATGAGACATGTGACATGAGAAACGAGAGGTTGTTCATGCATATTAATGAGGCCGCGATGAAAGCACTGCCATCACTTAGTAATTACTCTAGTTTAGTGATGGATTACTCGCTGTTGACTCGGGCACATGTCTTGCATCACCACAAAGGCCAGCTGTTAGCTGTCACGGCCAGCCGCTGACGTAATGAACGATGGGTGACTCCCTAGTGACGCGTTGAAATCTCTACAAAAATGTGCTCATTACACCCACTCGCAGATCATTAACAGCTAAGCTTCAGCGCATCCGTGTACGTAAAACACACTAACTTAGACAAGGTGTTAAGGAAACTACACAGTATCAGGAGTTAATAATATTGATTCCCTTGAACCCCCCCAAGACTCATCGCTGTTTACTCTCTCATCCATTGGGCGGCACTTTTACAATGTATACAGCTGCTCAGTCGTGGCAGTACACTCTGAAAATAGCAGACTGAACACGCGACCTTGCTCTGGTCGTGCCGCTGGTCATTATAAATAAACTCCATCTAAATTTTGAAATTATTCTTGTACCTGGGGTGAACTGACCCAGTTTTCAAGTTTATGATTTTTATTAGCTTTTTATCTGCTGTTGTTTCCATCTCTCTTTCTCTATATTCCCAGACGTATAGTTTCTTAATATTTCAACATTTTCCATCGAGGATTTATCGTTTCACATTACATATACATCATTTCATTAAACTTATTCTGCCGTGTCTCTTACTAATCTATCACACTGCTCACTCTTAGGTCTCAGTGTTGCTTCTTATATCGCTACTTGTATCCCTCTGCTGCCGTCCAGAAGAGAACAAACAAACTCTCAAGTCCAATCATTACTGTGTTCGTCTGTGCTTGTAAGGTTTCCAGGGACGTGGATCAGGTGTTGGCCACAGGAGTTATTTTGGTGGCGGTGGAATGATGGTCAAGGACACAAGATTAACTGTTTACTTGATGTAACTTATAGGTCGTCCAGCTCTGAGGGTGAAGGTTCTTTTCTAATATTTAAGTCGTTTTCTTATTGATTTTAAGTCTCATCAATCATGCCGAGCTGTTCACTAATTTTGGCATCATTAATATTTTTTGGGGGGTTTGTACAGTTAAGACAAAATTCGCTGATTTATTGTAATGGGATCCTACTTAAGGGTCGTGTAGGTAAGGGAGACTGGAATTGTAACATCTAATTAATTGAAGATTTTTATTTGTATTAGTGTCTTTTTATCACCTTAAACCACCTATATATAATAACCCATGAGAAGATGTCAGATACTGTCAAGTGTCCAGTGAATTTTGAGCACAACTGTACCTGATGGGGTAGGTGGGTAGTCCTTGATTACATAAGGGAGTTACAATCCTGCCTTGCCAGCAGTTCCCAAAGTGTGGGCTGGCGTTAGGAAGGACATCCAGCCATAAAACTTTGCTTCAGCATGCTTGATGGCAACCAGGTCACCAAAGCTGTGTCCATCCCCTGATCTCCGGTGGGTTTTCGGTGGTGAGCAGTGCGTGTAGCCCCGTCATCCAGACCTCTGTACCTCACCCGGTGTGTGTAGCCTCGTCATCCAGACCTCTGTACCTCACCCAGTGTGTGTAGCCCTGTCATCCAGACCTCTATACCTCACCCAGTGTGTGTGTAGCCCCCGTCATTCAGACCTCTGTACCTCACCCAGTGTGTGTGTAGCCTCGTCATCCAGACCTCTGTACCTCACCGTGTGTAGCCCCGTCATCCAGACCTCTGTACCTCACCCGGTGTGTGTAGCCTCGTCATCCAGACCTCTGTACCTCACCCAGTGTGTGTAGCCCCGTTATCCAGACCTCTGTACCTCACCCAGTGTGTGTGCAGCCCCGTCATCCAGACCTCTGTACCTCACCCAGTGTGTGTAGCCCCGTCATCCAGACCTCTGTACCTCACCCAGTGTGTGTAGCCCCGTCATCCAGACCTCTGTATCTCACCCAGTGTGTGTAGCCCCGTCATCCAGACCTCTGTACCTCACCCAGTGTGTGTAGCCCCATCATCCAGACCTCTGTACCTCACCCTCTCGATCACCATTTAATTGTCTTTAACTTAACCCATTCACTCTTCACTTACCCTTCGACTTCGCCCACTCAACCCACGTCAGGCTCAACCCTTTCACTACTCTCTCCCGGCACCTTTATGCTTGGCTCACTGTCTATGGTCACTACATATGGTCCTGCCCCATTCTGCCTGGTCCTGCCTAGCCCTGAAGCCCCTTCCCGAACAAGAGAAAGAGGCAGCATTACTCACAGTGAAGCCTCCCGGATCTTGCGTATAGAGAGGAGAGTGGTGGAGCCAGTCCTCAGCGCCTCCAGACTCATGCCGAAGGGGTCAGAACTGGGAGGCGAGTCACTCTCTGCGGGGAAAAACAAGAACCTGGTTAACATGTGCTGTCAGTAGATGAGGGAGAGGAGGGAGAGGAAGGAGAGGAGGGAATGAGAGCAGGGAGGGAGAGAGATGGGGAAGGATGGAGTTGGGGAGGGAGGGGAAAGTGGAAAGAGAGGGAGGGGGAGGTGGAAAAGGAGGGAAGGGGAGGTGGACAGGGAGGGAGGGGGAGGTGGACAGGGAGGAGGGGAGGTGGAAAGGGAGGGAGGGGAGGGAAAGGAGGGAGGGGGAGGTGGAAAGGGAGGGAAGGGGAGGTGGAAAAGGAGGGAGGGGGAGGTGTAGAGGAAGGGAGAAAGGATGAAATACAGTTAAAGAGTAATAATAATAAAAAAATATCCAAACTGAACTCAAAACTTGGTGAGATGGTGGAGATTTTGGGAGTTAGGAAAACATATAAGAAAAATTCATAGAAATATTCTCTCGTATCAAGTAAACTTATTAAACAGGGAAGAGAAGAACGTTAAAATAAATTTATTACAAGAATTCCTTTGTCAGAATTGAGTCATTATTTATATACTCATGTTAAAAACTTGCCACCTGTGAATATTGTAAAAATTCACATGAAAAATTTTAGGAACTCGCTTTACGACTCTTCGGTTATGAGTGCTGATGTGACTACCTCGTGTGACACAGGTGAACACGTCACCACCTTGCTAGTGTGTTCGTATTGTAAAGTTTATTTGATAATGCTGAAATTCCCATAAACGATGGCAGTAAAAAAAAATACAACAATGAATCCAGTTACGTAACTAGAGGAAACTGGAGAGCCATCACCGCTTGCTTAAATAACAAGTCACTAAGGTACTAAAGTGTAATAAACGTGGTTTAAGCTGCGGATTCCTGGCAGAGCGAGCTGGGCTGCACCAGACAATGGTCACTTTACGAGATGCAGTAAAGTCGTCGTGTGATCCATATCGTCGGGGCGCCCACACCACCCAGGCCCTCCCTACCCCTGCCACGCCATCCTCGACCCTCAGCTCACTTATCATAGGGCCCAACACTAACAAATACCTGACACTGGGAGGTAGTAATGCCTTGTAATTGCTTGAATTAGCGTTTATCACCTCGTTGGCAGGTGGTGCAATACGGGTACCGGGAGAACGAAGGACCATCACTAAAGTTCTCATGTCAACCCTGAGAGATAAATTCAATATTTACTCCTGGTGACAGATTCGTTTTAATTAATGCACACGCGACGCAACCCAACAGGGTCTTACAAAATACTGCAATTCCTAACTAAGACAATTCAGACAACTTGACCTACTTGTAGTAACGTTAATGTACTAGCTGATGCAATAAGGTACTTCCCTCTACACCAGGTCCACTACATATCGCCTTGTAGATAAAACTAGTTTAAGAGTATATATATTATGCAGGCGTTATTATTATTATTATTATTATTATTATTATTATTATTATTATTATTATTATTATTATTATTATTATAATTATTATTATTGCTGCTGCTCAAACGAATTCCGTGTGGCGGCCTCGTCTTCCCCCGGGAACATCTTCATCAGATGGACTCGAACAATTACAAGTGGCCACTTAATACGCGACATTACCATCACAATCAGTGGCAGCATCGAGAGCCCCTCAGCGACGCCATACGTCACCCAAGCTAACTGTCTTATCTAGCGAGGAGACCACTGCTACTGGGGGGCCTCGTCGCTACGTCACCCCTCCGCCCTTACCCACTCTATCCTTATCCTGGGATAATAACACCTCCCGTCGCTCTTCTGCACATCATTTCGGCTTCTCTTTCTTTGGGGGGGGTATGCGCGGAGAGATAGTGAGATATCCTCCCCCTCCTCTTCTTTCCTTCCGTTTCCTACTTAAGTAGCAGTTTCATAATTCGTCAGATTTGTACGTAACATTAAGGACCCTTTGTTTACACGCAGGTCACCACAATGTGATGAGTTTTGTCGTAGTACTGTGCAGAGGGTCAAGTGAATCCTGTGTTGACGGTGGAGACAAATAAGAGGCATTGTGATGAAGTCTACGGGGACACTTAGCCCTGTGTTGCACATCATACTATTACTATACGGGTGGTAATGTAAGACCAGGACTTTTGTTAGTGTGGGGAGAATTGTGTTAGGCGGTGTTAGGTGGTGCTGGGAGGGCTAGAAGGTGTTGTAGGGAGTGAACGATGATAGAGAGTGACGCTGGAGAAAGCTGATCGATACTTATTTAGTGGAGGATGATGGGAAGGGATGGTGGAAGGGGTAACAGAGTTCAAGTTCAGGAATCCACAGTAGAGATACAAGGAGAAGAACCCCTAAAAGAGAGGGCAGAGGCAAGGTGACCAGTGATTCTAGACTACTGAGTCACACAACCATCGTGAAGTAATTGAACTTTGGAAGAGAATACAAGATGGCAGGAGCAAGGTTTCATGCACGACCACATCATCACTACCTACTGCAGGTTAACAAAAATACAAATATTAAGAGTAAGAACACACCACGAACGGCCAGCAACTTTCTGGCGAAGAGACAGCGGCTCTCCTTGCCAGGGCGGCCGGGAGAGAAATTAAAATAAATTAGTGGAGGAGGAGGACGTGACAGGGCCGCCGTGGAGCGTAGGAGGAATTGTAGGTGGGAAGATGGCCAGGACACGACCTACCTGTCTCCCGGCACCGACACTAACTCCCTCCCTCTGACCCCACCACCTTGCATCACCCGCCCCTTTCGCATTTCTCTTCCCATCCTTGCAAGCTTACATTACCCCCCTCCCCCTCTATCCCTGGCACCCTGCATCACCCATAGTCCTCAAAGTTTAGTTACAGTTCATCATCTCTTCGGGTCCTTATTCTCAAACATTCGTATGTTTTGAGTTATCCCTCAGCATCTAAGGATGAGAGGACGCGCATCGTTACCGTAACCATGTTGGTGATTCATAACGCCATTTTGACCACCTTCTTTGTGTCGTAGATTGCTGGACAGCAGGGAATGGCAGACTATTACAGTGGCAGGATTAGTAATCCAGAATACGAATATCATAATCTAGCCTACAATGCCGCTATAGACTATAAAAAAATTTTGAACAGTATAACAGAGAACCAGTCTCACATCTCCACTTAGAAGAATATGGAACGGCTGAACCTCGTGAGACCCCGTGCGTGAGGCTGTGTAGGTCTCTCCGTGCTAGTGACCAGCGGGGTCCAGCGGTCGTGCCTACGTCGTTAGCAGCTGTTTATTCTCCGTCTTGTTGCTCTTCTTCTTAAGTCACTCACACCATAGGGCTCCAGTTTGTAAACTTCAGGTTACGGTGAAACACCAATTAAGATCCAGTTAGTTACTGAGGTCTGTGAGGGTAGTGCAAGACAGCAACATTATGGGGGCTGGTCCAGTCGGCACTGGATAAAATGATAAATCCCCTTCCTCCCTCCTACTCTCCCTCATCATCAGTATTAATCACCTGTGAAAAGACTACCTGCTGAACGATCTACCTGTCAAAAGACTTACCTACTGCCGATGACCAAGAAACCAGTCTTAGCCTCAACAAGAAAGTACTAACTAAAACACCTCCTCCTCGAGACCCTCTGCTGCTGGATCACACAACCAGTTGTCTGTCGCTGCCTGGCTTTGACCAGTGATTTACGATGTGCTAACACAAAAACATAAAAATAAAAATCTTGCAGGTGTCTTATACTCGCTTTTTATTCTCAACGGCGCGTAAAAAAGTGTGTTGTCGTAACGAAGTATTACACACACACACACACACACACACACACACACACACACACACAGTAAAACTCCGTCTATTTAACCCTCGCCGTAACAATCGTCTGTTTACATCAGCAGTAAGGAAGTGAAAATCATATGGTGAATTACACTTCAACATAACGAATCCTACACAGGTCCCAGTGTTCCTCCCAAGCCACCCGCGTGTTTCCGAGGTTATTGAAACACGATAACATTTGGTTGTTCAACTGTCTCGTATCTCCTCCCCAGCTCACCTACCCTCCCCATTTTCCTTACCCTCCTCAGCTTACCTACCCTTCCCAGCTTACCTTTATAATACATAATTATATTGTAATTGAGTTAATAAGTTCGTGTATTATGGAGTATTTGTTTAAGAAAGCATAAAATCATGAGATTTAAATTATTAGATGAAACCCTCTTCATATTTCGGACGCAGGCAATTAACAACACTGAATGTGTGTAACTGTGTTTGTATAAGCATATTGGGCGAATGTTGATGACTATTGCTCTACAAAGAGCATTCTCAAATAACATCTAAAATAGCATCAAAATAATATAAAGTTACAGACGTAAAAACTTATGAACTTTGGAAAGGTCTTGACATTTTTGTACCATTTCTCTCAGATATTTTTTGCTGTACTCTGTTTTCTCAAGGACTATTGACAAGTACAGTAAAAACCTGTCAAGGTTCTAGAGCTGGAACCAAGATGTCCGAGTTTATTGGATCTGGCAAAAAGCTTCTTCCCAGTGAGTTTCCGACTCTGAGGTCTACACTTCGACATGATCTTCACTTCCAAAAGATGAAGCTTTTGGTGCAAGATATAGTAGACCGTCGTAATTACAATGTAAAAGCCATAGCTCTGGATCAATGGTCCAGGGCCAATGCTGATATCAAATAACCAGTTATCATCAGCAAGCAGTAAAATGAGGCCAAATTTATCAATGTGTGTGTTCTGCGGCATGGAGCAACAGCAACAACACGAGTAAAGGAGCTACCTTGGTGTAGCGGACAAACACACCTGTTTTCTTTGAAGTGCCTCACGTAGACGCGAGAAGCGTTCGCAAGAGCGACCGGCTCGCGTTGTTGCTTCATGCAGCAGGACGATGACACACATGAGACATAGCCAAAGCTCACTCCTCTTGGGTGGTGGAAGGATGTGGTAGATTGGTAGGGTTTACCAAGGTCTGCTCCCCAGACAACTTCCCGTTTTCTATGATAAAAAACTTTGTTCTCTATGTTCCCAATCCTGTTTTCTATAATCAAAACTTCCTGTCTTGTATGATGAAAATTTCCAATTTTCTATGATAATTTTCCGTTTCTATGATGAAAATTCCCCATGTGTGTGTAATAATAATAAGCCTGAGGCGATGATACACCTACCCTACAGACCACATTGCCTTAACGGTGATTCACTTGTTAAGATGCATATATAGTTTTATTTACTCCCATAAAATATGATATACCATTAAACGATCTACTTGTATTGTCAACATTTTATTTTTATCCTCCAAGTACAGTATAGGATAACACTGGTGTGGAGCAGGTCTGGCAGGTATACCCATATGTCTCATTATATCGAGTATATCCCCGCTTGGCTCCTCCCAGATGCCCACCATAAGAGTCTCTTCCTTGAGTCTTAACAAACTGGATCGCAGGTGGGACGGGAAATACTAACCATGTGAGCCTTAACTATTCCAGTCCTGGCCACTTGTCGATTCAGTAGCCGTCCAGCAAACTGATCGACAAATTGGTGGTCGCTCATAAGATGGCCTATTAACCGGATGAAACACGCTTGTCTGGTAGTTGCTTCCCGTCCACCGCTACGGTATAATGCTGTAGCAGCTTCTAAACTTCTCAATCGTTTTCTATGATCTCGTTATTAAATCTGATAAAAGGTAAATGGCTCCTGGTACAAAGCCTCGCTATTGATCCCATGGTAATCCAATTTGTGTTTAAGTGGAGCGTTGCGGGTGATGGAATACTATTTAGGCTAAAGGACTGCAGCCGCCAACACACCTACCCTGCATATTAATATATACTAGATGAGCCAATTATCACCATACTCCTCCTGACGTTAATGTATGGACGTATGAACTGTAGAAAGACGGCACGCCATTACCACCCCACCACACCCCAATCCACTACCATCACTCCCATCGGCTCCCATCACAACCATATCACACCAACCATTTCTACCAGCACCTATTACCACCACACAAACCATTCCAAACCCCACTCCATCACCCCTTATTATGAAAAATAACAACCTCACCCTATCACCACAGTCGTTATACAGTACCACCATCACCCAATACTCGAGGGATGGATTGCATAATTTATTTCCATCTTCTGAATTGGATCAGCTAAAGAGTAAACAATTTGTGGTGATAATAAATTCCTTATAAATCCTAGTTAACGCACTAATGCTTCTCTTGGGCACAGACCGTGGTAATACGAGAGGGTAGGTAAGGGGGGGTGAAGAGAAGGGGGGAGGGGGGTGAATTGGAGGAAATGTGAATGAAGAAGAGGAGGAAGCAGGGAGTTAATAGATAAGGGTGGAGCGAATGGAAGAGAAGGGTGGGAAGTGGGTGGAGGTGAGGTGGAAGGAGGAGGATAAAGGTAAGATGAAAGTAGGGGGAAGAAACGATTGAAGGAGGAAGAGTAAATGGAAGAGGAGGAGGAGGGTGTGGAAGCAATACTGGGTTAGTCGAGGTCAACATATTACTTATAATGAACTTCCAGTGGGTGATGCGTGGGATGGGTGAATCATTGGGGTGGGTGATGCATGGGATGGGTGAATCATTGGGGGTGATGCGTGATGGTGAATCATTGGGGTGGGTGATGGATGGGTGAATTGGATGGGATGGGTGAATCATTGGGGTGGGTGATACATTGGGGCGGGTGATGCATTGGGGTGGGTGATGTGGGATGGGTGATGCGGGATGGGTGAATCATTGGGTGGGTGATGCATAGGATGGTGAATCATTGGGGTGGGTGATGCGTGGGATGGGTGAATCATTGGGGTGGGTGATGCATGGATGGGTGAATCATTGGGGTGGGTGATGCATGGGATGGGTGAATCATTGGGGTGGGTGATGCGTGGGATGGGTGAATCATTGGGGTGGGTGATGCATGGGATGGGTGACTCATTGGGGTGGGTGATGCAAGGGATGGGTGAATCATTGGGTGGGTGATGCATTGGGGCGGGTGATGCATTGGGGTGATGTGGGATGGGTGATGCGTGGATGGGTGAATCATTGGGGTGGGTGATGCATGGGATGGGTGAATGGGGGTGATGTGGGATGGTGAATCATTGGGGTGGGTGATGCGGTGAATGCATGGGATGGGTGAATCATTGGGGTGGGTGATGCATGGGATGGGTGAATCATTGGGGTGGGTGATGCATGGGATGGGTGAATCATTGGGGTGGGTGATGCGTGGATGGGTGAATCATTGGGGTGGGTGATGCATGGGATGGGTGAATCATTGGGTGGGTGAATGGATGGGTGAATCATTGGGGTGGGTGATGCGTGGATGGGTGAATCATTGGGGTGGGTGATGCATGGGATGGGTGAATCATGATGGGTGGGGTGGGCAGATGCGTGGGATGGGTGAATCATTGGGGTGGGTGATGCATGGGATGGGTGAATTTGGGGTGGGTGATGCGTGGGATGGGTCATTGGGGTGGGTGATGCATGGGATGGGTGAATGGGGTGATGTGGATGGGTGGGGCGGATGAATCATTGGGGTGGGTGATGCATGGGTGAATCATTGGGGGGGTGATGCGGGATGGGTGAATCATTGGGGTGGGTGATGCATGGGATGGGTGAATCATTGGGGCGGGTGATGCATGGATGGGTGAATCATTGGGGCGGAATACTGGGGCTGGTATCACACTGCTGTTGCCCTTCAACTAATCTTACAAACAGCCCTTGGCCCTGAACACCCACTAACATCTCATTAGCCTTATTTCACGGCTTTTGACGAGTATTACTGGCGTGTCGTAACTGCTGGATCGCTCTTAATTATCTCCCATTACAAACATAAATAAACAATTGGTGTAGTGGCTTCGCTTCCCTTCCCTCCCTTACTTCCTTCCTCCCTTCCTTCCTTCCTCCCTTCCTTCCTCCCTCCCTCCCTCCCTCCCTCCCTCCCTACCCTATCCTCACTCACTCCTTTCCCTCCCTACCCTACCCTATCATTTCTTCCTTCCTTCCCTTCCTACGTCCCTCACCTCCAAGACACTGCGCAATCCACACCAATGAAACTGCACATCCGATGATTTCTCCCGAGACGCCTCGAAAAACATGTGGGTAAGGTGCTAATAGTATATCACAGAGGCAGCGTTCATTAGTGCCTATTACACTCTTTAATGATAATGCCTAGTGCTCGATCCACCCTCCTCCTCCTCCTCGCCTGCGGTGCCTCATCCAGCTACACCATCATTTAAATCAACTGGTAAATTACAGTAGCTACGGGCGAGTTCATTAGGGACTGATAACAATGTATTCGTTCGGGTGTTTTGGAATTTTTTAATGACTCTCTCTCTCTCTCTCTCTCTCTCTCAAGACCAAGAACATTTAAAAACCTCCTTTTCCACTCATATACACATGGGTCATGAATTAGGCAAAATCAATAACGACGTGTGTGTGTGTGTGTGTGTGTGTGTGTGTGTGTGTGTGTGTGTGTGTGTGTGTGTGTGTGTGTGTGTGTGTGTGTGTGTGTGTGTGTGTGTGTGTGCAGATAGACCAGAGTTAGTTCATTACTTGGGAGAGACTCGTCCTGTTTCATAACTTTAAAGAGATAACGAGAGATTAATTCTCCGCTTTATATTACATATTACCTCGTACATCATTCTCCAACTTTTGAAAGATCCGACACAGATTAAATATTTACCTGGAGATACTGATAAAGACTCGTGTGTGTTTTTTAAGATGGTGTACTAAGGTTTGTTCTCCCGCAATATTTAGGACGTCTGAGTTACGAAATATTTTCTAGTGGCGAAGAGGACCTTGAAGAGCCGATATAAATATTATGATCGTGTGTGTGTGTGTGTGTGTGTGTGTGCAGAGGCTGAATAAAACACACACGTACTTGAAATCCCAGCTTATATTCTGTTGCACATTGTAAGAATTAACGGGAAAATCATTAATGGAAAAGATTCTAAGTTGAGAGGAGAAATTGTCCAAGAAATGGGTAGTTGCTGTGATTAGTGTGTGTGTGTGTGTGTGTGTGTGTGTGTGTGTGTGTGTGTGTGTGTGTGTGTGTGTGTGTGTGTGTGTGTGTGTGAGATAAAGAGAAAGAGAAAGAGAATAATGTAAGCAGATGACAAATGGAACCAGAAAAGTGAAGCCCACAGCTGCCACGTAAAACAACTCCTGCCTCGAACTTTGCCCCGAGAGCATTAAGAACGAGGTTAAAAGGTCGCCGCTGCCAGAAAGAGAAGACGCAGCCCATTTCGACATCACTATTACGAAAGACTCTCTGAGAACAGCGTAAGAGACCAGGGAATGGGCATTGAAGGTTAAAGAAGTTTACAGTGTACCTACTAAGAGGGCATTGGTGACTACTAAGAGGGTGGGTGACTTACTGTCGGGCGACGGTGTCTACCGGGAGGGGCGGCGCCTGCTGATGGGGAGGGCGGCGTCTTAAGACAACAAGGGTACGTGGAATTACTTGGTGACGGGGGATGACTACTGATGTGGGCAGCATGTGGCCGGTGACGAGACTACTGACGAGGGACGAGGGGCTTAATGATAACCGGAATGGGTGGGGGTGAGACGGGTAGACGTGACGTAGAAAATGAGAGGAGGGAGGGAAGTTTAGAAGGAGGGAGAAAGAAGTCGAGAGAGAAGATGGAGGGGTAATGCTCCTCTTACAAGCACCAACGTTACACCTGACGACTCTACCATTGGTAAACCTACTATCAATCTAATAAACTTCGAAAAAAGTAAAAACAAGGAGGAAAACCATCTATCATCTGTCTTAAAACTGTAAGTAAAACACCCAGCAAGGCATCTTGGTATCCGGACAGGTTAAGTAGGTCTTACTCACCATGTTTGAGGGAGAGGTCGACGCCGAGGGACTGTAGGGCGAAGGAAGGGAAGGTTGGCACTTTAAGGACGACCCCAGTGTTGTGATCCTTCAGCCCCTTCAAGGGTGTATGTCCGTCGTTTCCCTTCCCCATCGTCTTGGTTGTCCTCACACTTAGGTCTACTGGCTCTACCTGCTCCGGGGGCACCTCCGCCTGTAGCCAAGAGAGAGGGGGGGAGGCGATCAGTACATGAAATAAAGATTACAAAATATCTAAATACAGGATACCTAAAAGTGATAAATAGAATATATTTCACATGCTTAATACTGTAGTCCTTAAGTTAGAAAATGTTCAGCCTTTTTTAGCTGCATTATAACAAGACAAGAGCAGGAAATAAAACAATAACGTTAAGATGATCCTTGAAGGTGGAGTGGCTGCCTCACCTCCTTGGACGTCATGTTAGGATGCATGGCTGGACGCTTGACTGGGGCCGGCACCTTGAGCAGCACGGGGGGCACGCTCCCCCCCTCCTCGCTCACGCCCACACGCTGGAAGAAAACAACACATTGTTAGTTTTACCTCGTAAATTCTTCCACACAACAAACATTGAAGTTAGATTTACAACACAGAATAAATTAGGATGTGCACCTCCCCTACACACTAGTCCACCCTCGTAACTCTCCCTGACCAACACTATACACGACTGCAATTTTTCAGGCTTACCTCGGACTCTACATGATAGATTATCTGGTGAAATTCTGGCTCTTTTTATCTCTGGTGGACCTTGTCATGCACAATAGTGAGGCGGCCTTGTACGACAGCGGAACAAAGAGCCACACATCCCTATGGCCGCGGGTGATGCTCACAGCCCCAGCCTCTATTCTCCTAGGTATCTGCCTAAGGACACACCCCTCATACACCATTGTTACCTCGACGGCCACACTCTTGAGTGTATTATGAGTAGGACTAGTGCATTTTTACAGCTGGCCATTATGAATACTGGGAGAAAATGGACAAGGATACGATGATGTCATGCAGTGCATCGTCATGGGATGAGCCACAAGGAAGAGAAGGATTATGAAGTAATACTTGTCCTTCCTCCCCCTCCTACACCACCCTACCTTCATATCCTCTTCCAAATCTACCCTCTCTTTTCCCCAATCCCAGATATCACCTCCCAACCTAAGCTCCCTTACTCCCCCACCCAATACCACCTCCCATCTCAGGGAGCTGGGCAATGTGGAGGTGGTGGCGGCCAAGTCACCTGGAGGGAGGAAGGCGTCCATACCAGCGTGATCAGGGTACATAATTGTTATGTGCTTTTTGCAACACTTGACCCGGAGGCGCAGTGGTGCTGGACTAGAGTGGTGTTCAGGGAGTGGGCTCAAGTTTCCAAAAATTGGACTAGGTGGAAAGGATGGATAAATTAGGCCGATAAGTGGTGTAGCCCATGGACTGGATCGTTCCACTTATATCCATCAATTCGACCCTCAGCTTGCTCAATCACTGTGGTTGTGAAGTGTTGGTTTCCTCAGTCGTTCGCACTCAAGCACAGCAATAAACGTAAAAAGTATGTACGTAATTTACATACAGTTACATCCATATTTATTCATTGATTAAAACCAACAAACACAAAATAGATTAATGTCCACGCCAATCTTGAGTTGATACCATTAGATTATGATGTGTTGTAGACTTCTGTTCAGCAGTTAAACACACACATACACACAGAGTGTTGAACAGTGATGAACAGTGTTTAAGCCAGTGAATTCAGCACTAGACAGTACCAGCGAGAGCCGCGACACACCAGTGAGATAAGCACCCCTGGGAACAACAGTGGGCCGGCTTTACACCTGACTACGAGATAACACAACACCACTGAGCAGAGAGTGAGGTACTGTGACACCACCCCCACCACACCACCCGGTGTCCCATGACTACGTGCGGTCCTTCATATCAACACCTACGGACGAGTTACTGCACCACGTGAACACCACACCACCCGGTGTCTCCACGACCCCGTGAGGTCCTTCATATCAACACCCACGGACGAGTTACGGCACCACGTGGCCTACGTGACCTCACACAGCATGGCCATCAGCTGCAAACTATAATAATTTGTATGTTCAATTCATGTTTCTTCTCCTTTCAGTAATGAAAGCTTTTGTTAAACGACCCACCCACCCATGTCCTTTTAAGTAATAAGTCATTATTATTTAATGTATATTTTCAGCCTTCGGGCTACAGAACTTTTTCAATAAACTGTTAATTATTATTATTACACACCTCCTCCCCCCCACCCCACACACACGTCCTCCGCCTTCCCCTCGATCTAGGTGGTCCTTCAATATCCTGGTGGTCCTGTGCCCTTTAAGTGAGACTTCTGGCCGTGTTGTATCTCCTCGACCCCTGACTCCCATTCTTAACTCGTCTTTACTGGGGTCAATTTCCTGTTCTGTCCCTTTTGTTCCCTTTCGATCTTATTCTTTTTTCCCACGTAGAGCGAACTGAGAGAGAGAGAGAGAGAGAGAGAGAGAGAGAGAGAGAGAGAGAGAGAGAGAGAGAGAGAGAGAGAGAGAGAGAGAGAGAGAGAGAGAGAGAGATGTGTGTGTGATGGAACAGTGATGGAAGAGGACCGGGAGTGAACGGGACAAGCCAGAAACTGCTTTAGATAAGGAAAATTTAAGAGGAGGGAGAGGGAAAGGAGACAGGTAGACAGCGAGAGACAAAGAGGGACAATAAGAGACATAAACAGCAAGAAACAGAGAGAAAAAGAGAGCTACTCAAGAGACACCCAAAGGTATGAGAGGCCACAAAATCCTTAAAAGTAAAAGAGAATCAAACAAAGGTAAGACAGGAAGGAGGAGAGAATAATGAGTGAATGCAGGAAATAGGGAAAGAGAAGGAATAAACAAGAGGTAGAGAAGAAAAGAGAGAATACAGTAAACACGATGTAAACTAACACAGGAGAGTAGAACATAAGTTAAAATGGGATGATGATGAAAAATAAATATAAAAATGAGTCACTTTTTACTCAAGAAATTAATAAAAAAATATCAGCCACTTTGCTTTACCCTCCGTACCATCACCCTTGGTCTTGACACCCTCCCCACCATCAACACCCTTGGTCTTGACACCCTCCCCATCATCATCACTCATGGTCTTGACACCCTCCCCACCATCAACACCCTTGGTCTTGGCACCCTCCCCACCATCATCACCCTTGGTCTTGACACCCTCCCCATCATCATCACTCATGGTCTTGACACCCACACCAACACCCTTGGTCTTGACACCCTCCCCATCATCATCACGCATGGCCCTGACACCTCCCCCACCATCATCACCCTTGGTTCTGGACACCTCCCCATCATCATCACCCTTGGTCTTGAGCACCCTCCCCATCATCATCACCCTTGGTCTTGACACCTCCCCATCATCATCACCCTTGGTCTTGACACCTCCCCATCATCACCCTTGGTCTTGACACCTCCCCATCATCATCACCCTTGGTCTTGACACCCTCCCCACCATCATCACCCTTGGTCTTGACACCTCCCCCATCATCATCACCCCTGGTCTTGACACCTCCCCCCATCATCACCCTTGGTCTTGACACCTCACCTCATTCCACACCTGGTCTTGACACTCCCATCATCATCACCGGTCTTGACACCTCCCCCATCATCACCCTTGGTCTTGACACCCTCCCACCATCATCACCCTGGTCTTGACACCTCCCCATTACCATCACCCTTGGTCTTGACACTCCTCCCACCATCAACACCCTTATCTTGACACCTCCCCCACCATCACCCTGGACACCTCCCACCATCAACACCCTTGGTCTAGACACCTCCCCACCATCAACACCCTTGGTCTTGACACTCCCCCACCATCAACACCCTTGGTCTTGACACCCTCCCCACCATCACCCATCTTCTACCATCAAGACACACGAAACTCTCTCCTCTTACCTAATGATATACAGAAACAATCGTTAATATATTCATGGTAAAGCAGAAGAGAAAACTAAATGTAATTACTGTACGTTCTGTTTCGGAAAATATGGAATTCAGGTGGTCTGGCCACGCTGTGGGTTGGGGTACGTGGAGGGGGGGGGGATGCATGCCCCTTGTGACCCAGACCCCGCCCTGCCCTGCCCTGACCTAGGTCACCACCCAGTCTAATTATTCCTTCACATTATTCTTGCTAATTATGCTTCCACCGCACCGAGTTTTTCGAAAAATTGGGAATAATAATCTCTGAGTTCGCTTATTGTGCAAGAGTCTTGTCTCACAACTGTTGTCAGAAGATGTACTCTGGTGATTAAGAATTTACACATGGTCGGTGATGGTGTTGAAAGAGTTATATATAATTTTGTTTCCATTGGTTGTAAATTTCAATTGATGATTAAAAGCACACTTCCAAATGGGTCACGTTGCTTAATGGATCATATATAAATTTGTATTAAAACTTCTTATACACCCAAGTGTAGTTGAAAAATAATAAAATGAAGATTAATGAAAAAAATATATATATACGGTCATCAAAAAAGAACACCCAGATATTATATGATTATATATGAAAACTGGAGAGGCTTTTCTGATGACCCTGTGTATTACCTCCAACATTATATTATATTGTCTATTTTGGCAATGTAAAGTAGGTCATTTATACAGTGTGAGTGTGGGTGTGTGTGTAGGGAGTGAGTTCCTACAATGAGAGGCGATCACCCCATATACTCTCTCCCTCCCCTCTCCCCCCATTCCCTCCCTTCCTCCCTCCAGATTCCATCACCCTGTAATTACAACATACCAAGGCAGATTTTTGAGCGAGGGATTCCTTCACAGTTGAGTTCCTCGTGATTGTGTTTCTTGTTAATATTTCCCACCCCTCAAAACGTAATCTGTCCAGTGTTCTTGTTATTGTTTCTTAATATTGTAATTATTTATTGTCTATAAATATTTTTCTTATTTACTTTTACTTTTATATATCTTTATTTCATTTTATTTATTGCTTTAATAATCTTTTTTTCCTTTATTCGCCTGGTGACCGGTAAACCTCGTTGTGTGGTGTACCAGGACAACAATGTACTGTACCAACACTTAAAAGGAGACAACCTAACAAAAAGAGCCATTTTATGCTAATACCTGTAGTTAATAACACCGTTTAGTGACATTTTACAGGTGTCATCAACCAACAGTGGCTTAGGTGTGTGAGGTAGAGATGACGGAGAGACTGGAACATTGTAAAGGCAGAGAAGCCCCACCTGAGACACGGTGTACAGTAGAGTGAGTTTGGAAAATTAACGTTGTTCGTGGTTATGTGGCAGAGAGGATTAGCATAATCTTCTATGGTTCTATTGGGGAAAGTTATCAGATCTTGGTGATGGAGGAGAGGAGGTGGGTGAGGGAGGGAATATTACCTAATGAGGGAGAGATGTCAGGCAGTAATAGGGCAGTGGCATACCCAGGTGATGGATACAGGTGAGATGGAATTTGTGAGGGCAAGAGGGAGTGAGTCTAACCCCGATAATGGAGGGTGTGAGGGCAGCTAGTATACCCCAGGT